AATCTGAGAGTGATGAATTTGAATTTTTTGAATTTCAACAGCAGGCTTGTTGAAAATGCTTTCCCTCCCAACGCCCAACCGTGAAAGTGCTGTTTTTCTTATTACTTGTGTTATTCTTGAGTACTGTAATAAATTGACAGCAGGGAGGCACAGCTACAAATTGTAGTCACCCAAATTTCTATAATATTTCTTAACAATATGTTTGGTTGAAGGAATTTGAAAGAAAAAAAATAGTTTTCTCTCATTTTCCTTGCCAAAATAGGAGGAATTTGGGGTTTTCTCTTCTTGTACATTTTGCCTTTTCATTTTCTTTTCCTTCCACTTTTTTTTTCCTTTTCTATCTAACCAAATAAGAAAAATGTTTTCCCTCTCATTTTCTTTTTCTTTCCCTTTCAAATTCCTTGAACCAAACATAGTGTAATGTCCATGGCGAGTGCTTATTTGTGAGTAATTGAATGTTCATTTTGAGCAAGTAAATACGTGTTATCGAATAACTAAATGCTCATTTCTCTAAATTTTAGTTAGCATTCAGTTAGTCGAAAATAAGTACTTAGGCTATGTTTCGTTCAACTTATTTTTTCTGATCTGATCTGATTCTAATAAGTTCTGATTTGATCTGGTCTGATCTGATCTGATCTGATTGGATCTGATCTGATCTAATCAGATTGGATCTGATTTGATTGGATCTGATCTGATCTAATCTGATTGGATCTAATCTGGTCTGATCTGATTAATTATGATTTAATTTAAAATTTCAAATCAATAATTTAATTTGACTTTATAATAACGTTTGAAAATTGTAATTATAATTCATATTATAATATAATCAATATTTTTTAATTAATGATTATTTTTTAATAAAATAAAAATAGTTAATTCATATATTTGAATAATCATTCATATTATAATGTAATAATATTTTTTATTTTATGATTATTTTTTTGTAAAATTAGAATTATATATTAGAATAAATATTTAATTTAGATAATCAATATATAGAAAACATGGTATTTTTATTAAAATATCTCATCCTTATAAAAGATCAAAAGTTTAGAAACTCAAATTACAAGTAGCAATATAAATATATTTTAAAAGTAGAATTAGATTGACATTGTCAATGTATTTTAAAACTAATTTTTCCGACGTCTAATAATTAAAAATTACTTTCTCAGTTTTCTATTTAACTCATTTCTAAAGTTTATTTTTTTTCATTTTTAAGAATAATAATAATAATAATAATAATAATAATAATGATGATGATGATGATGATCATAATAATAATAATAATAATAATAATAATAATAATAATAATAATAATAATAATAATAATTCTTGATGGGATCTGATTTTAATAAGTTCTGATCTGATCTGATCTGATTGGATCTGATATGATCTGATTGGATCTGATCTGATCTGATCTGATTCGATCTGATCTGATCTGATCTGATTCGATCTGATCTGATCTGATCTGGTCGGGTCTGATCTGATCCTACTTTAATAAGAATAAGAAAAAATAAGAAAAAATGAGTTGAACGGAACGGGGCCTTAGTTACTTGGCAATAAGTATTCATGCGGATGTACGGGAAATATCGTACACCCGGATGTATGGTATAGAAACTCTTCTCATTTTGGAAAAATGTGTTCAAATATACAGTATCTTTTTTAAAATAAATTTTTTTAATATTATTCATTCTATTACAAAGTAGTATCTGTTTATACAATTCTCAATATAATGATGCACAAAGAGGCAATGATTCCGCGTTCGCTAGAGCTCGAATCTAGTCAAACTTCCTCATTAATCATGGAGAGTGTGCTTGCTACAACTCAAGCCATGGGATATGTTCACATATTTTTAAAATAATTTTATTTACAAATAATTATAAAATTAAAATGTACTCCCTCCATCCCAAAATGGGTTACACTTTAAGCAAAATGAATCAAAATTTTAAGTTTTTAAACTCATTTTATTCAAATATTGATATAAAAATTTAAAATACAATTTAAAAATTACGTAAAAAATTCTACAAAACAAGAGTTGATAATAATATTTTATTTTATGAAATAATCAATTAAAACATACAAATAAATAAAAAAATTCCATGATTTTTGAATAGTAAAGAGTGCAATTCTTTTTTGAACGAATGGAGTACAAATTACATTGTTTATAACTAAATCAAAAATTCTACACAATAATATGTGATAAAATATTTTATTTTATCAAATTATCAATAAAACATGTTGATGGGTATATTAGGCCGAGAGATAAAAATTTACCAAGTGTGTAATTGGCTCTATATATTTAGTTGGGTCGTAACTCTCAAAGTATCCCACATCGAAACTTGATAAAAAACTAGATTGGTAATGAGCTTTTGAGTTGAACTAAGTAATTGATTGGATTAAATTTTTTAATGTGGTTCAAATCAAGTATCTTGTTGCCCAACCTAGTTAACACTACCTCATACTAAATTCTAACATGCTATTGGAGCTTGGTTTCTAAAAATTCTTGGTTTCTAAAGATTTCACGGCTATCTTTAACCGTTCTTCCCAATGATTTCAAAGGTTATCCTTGAATCTCTGTCCAAAGATTTATACGGCTATCCTCAACCGTTACAATGAGTGAAAGATGTGTCTAACAACACAAAAAATGTTCAGCACCTATTGGCCTATGAAAAATAAAAGGATCAATCCTTGGTCGGTGAAGAACGAAGATTATACTCTCAAAAGCAACATGAGATTAATGTAATGAGTGTGAGAGTATATATGTATAACCACAAGCTCAATGCGTGTGTGTAAAATCAGGAGAATAAGACTCTTGAAAATAGTCAAAATAATGATAATGAAGAACAAGAACAAGAACAGACTAGAACTATGAAATGCAATATTTGGAGTTTGGATCTGTGTTAAAATGTGAAGGATTAAACTTGCATTTATAGTGGGAAAAGTCATTTAGCCATTGGATAGTAATTTGGAAGGATTTTGACTAATTAAATGTGATTAAATTTGAAATCCGAGATTTGAATTTTCCTCCATCGGTCACGGTAGGAAGGTACCGTTGTCACGGTATTGAGGTACCGTACGTATGATAAGGAGGTATAGTGAGTATGTAGCAGTATGTGGATATCGTGTTCCCTCAAAAAAACCAAACCTCTCTGGCGGAACCTAGGCTCTAACGGTACCAGTATTTCATTGAGACGGTAGGGCTTATTGTTGAGGCGGCAGGGTGTACTGTTACGTTAGGGGTACTGTACGCCTTATCTGGTTTTTCCAAAATTCGCTTAATCATTCTCGTTGAGTTTAAAACATTTTGGATGTTTGAAAATGTTTAGAAGATGGTTTTAAACATATTTTGTGAGTGCTTTTGAGCTTGTGAATATATGTATATTCTATGCTAGTTTGGTGTTTTGACTTCATTCTTGAGAACCGAATCTTAATGAACTCTTGTTATGCATGAAACACTTAAACAAATATTTAGCTTTTATATTGTTTGTTAACATCAAAACACGAGACTTAGCAAACGAAGACTAACAATGTAGTCATATTGCTCTCAACTCTTCGTCGTTATGATTTCAAAGTGCAAAGAAGAATTATGGAGTTGTTTTTTGAGTGCTCTTTTCAATTTGTTCCCCGCACGTCTGATGTTTTGTCTCATTCATTAGCTCTGCCCGCCAATATAATATGATGAACTAGGGTTATGTTCTTCTAGATTTTGCCTCATTTCTAATTCTGATTACTCTAAAAAAGGCTTGAAATTGCAAATGACATAGAGATGCGTGGTTATGTAATTGAGTCTTTTTTGAATTAAAAAAATTTGATTCACATCTACGAGTGAGTTTGGTTGGGAGAAAATATTTTCTAGAAAAATTTGATTCTATTTTTCTACGTTTGGTAATATTAGTGAAGAAAAAACATTTTCGATAGGAAATATTTTCTCGAAGAAAAATAATTTCCTGCATGAACTTGAAGATTTTTTTATTTTCTCTTCGCCCTGTCCCCCACGATCGCCATCTCTCCACGCCCCCCGTCCACCCTACCCCCTCCCCCCACCCCACACCCACCCTACCCCCGCCAACCCTACCTTGACCCCATACATACTACCACCTCCACACACGACCCCCACTCCTCACCCTCATGTCCATGCCTACCCCGCCATGCACATTTCCCTCAACTATCTCATCCTCACTTCCACCCCAACCCCCTATCACCACCCATTGTTCTTAACTTGCCACTTGCCCATGAACCCCGTCAAATGACCCACATCGTCACCCCCTGTCCACCATGCGTCGCCCCTATTCTACTAAAATATTATTAGAATTTTAAATTGTCCCAACATATCTTTTTTTAATATTAATAATAGAAACTTATTTTTTAAGAAACATTTTTTTCCTTCCATATAACAAAAAATATGATTGAAAATATTTTTTTGGAAATTATTTTCCTTCGAAAAATATTAGAAAAATATTTTCCCCAAACCAAACACACCCTAAATCTAAATTATTTGTATTTAGAACCATTAAGGAAAATAATTAAAACCATTAATGAAAATATTTAGGCCCAAGATTCATGCTCATATAGTCGTATTATAGAACATACTGCATTGATATAAAAAAGAATTGAATGAAATAACTCTGATTCAAAATCAAATTGAAATTTCCAAATCCATGGTAAATTTATTTTTGGGTTTGTTTTGGAGTAATACTCTAATACTCCATCAAAGATCAAACCATTCCGGAGGAAGCTTTAAGCAGGAGTATCTATATCATACATCCAGATGTATAATACTTCTCGTACATTTGCATCAATACCCATTGTCGAGTAACTAAGTACTCATTTTCGAATAAGAGAATATTCATTTTGGAGTAACTAAATGTTCAAATTCAAGTATAAATAAATTTTAAAGAAATGAGAATTCAATTATTCGAGTAGAAATATTTACTTGCTCGAAAATAAGTTGGACCTTATATAACTAAGCTTATATAACCAGAGAAGTGTATATAAGTAGGACTGCGCCGCTAGGGTTTGATATATAGGGAGGCAAGACATCAGCAACCACTCCCCTCCCGTAGAAGCAGCCGGCGCCATGGTGAAGTATTCCAGAGAGCCCGATAATCCCACTAAATGTATGCTCTCTTACTCCCCCCATCTCTCTTTCCATCGCGATAGATTTACAATCATGATGTGTTCATATTCTTGGTCGATTTCTCATTATGTATGGACGTTCATCGAATTGCAGCCTGCAAAGCCAGGGGATCAGATCTCAGAGTTCATTTCAAGGTATCATTATGCTTCTCACTCGTACACGATTCCCTTTTGACAATGTACATTGATTATGCGGATCTACGTGCTGGTCCAGTAAATATCTGTGGATGTTTAGATAAAAGGCTGCTTCTTTGATTTCCTGCCGGGGTTTTATTAGGGTTATATCTTATTTTTAAGCATTCATGTGCTATGCTCTTAGTTCATTTGATCTGTTTGTGGCATGGAATTATGAATACCTGATTAAAAGCAGTGGCCTATTGTCAAACTGTGAATAGGTCTCTCGTAGATATCAGGGACAAAAAGTTTGCACCATTATTGGGTGAACCTCTGGAGTGCTTTGTGGACTAGGATAGATGGTTCAATAAATGGTGCTATATTTTGTATCGGGTGATATTTGCAGTCCTTTCTCTAATGTTCATGAGGTATCTGTTTGTGAACTAGGTGTTTTACTCAAATGTCTAGTGCTATTGTTGTTTTCAGATATATTAGCTCATCCTTATGAGCTATATTAACTCAAATGTCTAAACACAATAGGCAGCTCTGTTTTATTCTTGGGTGAAACCTTTTAACAATCATTTTCCCTTACATTTGTTTTGTTTGTACTGTTACCTGATTAAAAGCAGGGACCTATTGTTGTTTTGTGAATAGGTCTCTCGTAGAAATCAGGGATATAGATTTGCATCATTATTGGGTGAACCTCTGGAGTGCTTTGTGAACTAGGATAGGTGGTTCAATAAATGATGCTACATTTTGCATAGGGTGATTTTTTTACAATGTTTCTTCAATTGTAATGAAGCTCTATGTTTTTTTACTCTTCCCTTCATATACATTTTTGAAGCAATTTATCAATACTTGAATCAATTTATTAAATATCTTTGTCATTATTTCCCTAAACAAAGTTCAATTTTTCTTTATTGTGCACCTTTAGATAAAATCTTCCTTCTCTTGTAAGTTCAAGGTCTGCTTGTACATTTGTGTTTAAATTTACTTCCTTACCTACCAATATCAAATATTCTTCATCACACTTCACGAGGGTAATTTTTTGAAGAGATAAAGTAATTGATTCATAGAGAAATATGCCAGTCAATAATAATATATGTCAAAGGGATGGAGGTAACACTTGGGCATTTTATTAAATGTTGTGCTACAGTGGGTTCTTGTTATATTAAATGTATGTGGTCTAAGCAGAGATTATATTGGTTATGTGTCATATTCAACACAATTTTCATGACTCATGAGTTTTCTCTGCAAAACTGAACTTTGGGAAGATGGGCAGTTGTGTTTTGTCATTGGTTAAAATCTTTCAACAATCATCTTCCCTACATTCATTGTATCGATTGTCTTGTCCTTACCTACCATTGTCTTTCTACTTTGCTATTTCATTTTAAGGAGCAACCTAGAAATCAACTTTTGTACTTTTGATGTTCTACGGTGCATCCATTGTTTGTCACAACAATTTTTTATGCAGAAATTGTGTGTATTGGTTGTGTTGAGATGATTAGTGCACATGACCAAAAGTGTTCTCTGCAAAAGTATATATGAGGAAGATGGTCAGTTGTGTTTCATCCTTTGTTGAAACATTTCAACAATCATCTTCCTTATATTTTATAGGGCAAGCATAGTACTCAACTGTTTCTATTCTGTATTTTATATATTCTGTTATTTGTCTTCCCTCTAAATATGAATTTTTTTGCTTGTTTTTATATCATGTAGATAATGTGTGTTATCTGATGAAAATTTTCCATCACAGAACACTAGGGAAACAGCACATGCTATCAGGAAGCTTCCTCTACAAAAGGCTAAGAGGTATCTTGAAGATGTTTTGGCTCACAAACAGGCTATTCCTTTCACCCGTTTCTGCAGAGGGGTTGGTAGGACCGCTCAGGCTAAGAACAGACACCCAAATGGACAGGGACGGTGGCCCGTGAAATCTGCCAAGTTCATTCTTGATTTGCTTAAAAATGCTGAAAGCAATGCTGAGGTGCGTGCCCATCAAATGATCCAACCACAATAATTCATTGAAGTCTTTTGGACCTCTTTACTCACTTTTAAAATTTCCTTGCAGGTCAAGGGGCTTGATGTGGATTCTCTCTACATCTCTCACATTCAGGTGAACCAAGCTCAGAAACAAAGACGTCGCACATACCGTGCTCATGGGCGAATTAACCGTATGTTTGACACACTTTATTTCTCATTTTTAATACTCCATTTTATTTCCCACTGCTTTCGTCTTATATATATGGACCAAATAACACATGCTGAATAAATCCATTTGTGAGATAAAGTAATATTTTGTTTCATGCATGATTACTTTAAATGGAGCAATTACTCTCCCCGAACATAAATTTTATACTTTGTACTACATTTGTGGGTGCTTCCAATGCAAGCTTCTCAATTTTCTTTTATTTTAGTAAATGTTTACTGTATAGATTCATTTCCTTAGTTTTTTGTCCCAAAGAATATGGAAAATTCTTCTTGGGAAGAAGAGTCATTTTAATTAAGAGCTTTCACGGAAGGAATATAATGGTAACAATTTGAAATAAAATTTAAAATGTGCATAGATTTTTCATAAGACAGAACCGACAGATACAAAGAATAAGACCATATTTCTAAAAAGCCACTCCTTAAGCATTACGCTTTTTTTATGACTTGGTGTTCTTATGCCACCTTTACATTTTTTTGGGGGACTGTTTCTTTTCTCCTTTAACTTACTGATGGGAATTGCTGATCTATCATACATTCTTTTGCAGCTTACATGTCTTCCCCGTGCCATATTGAGTTAATCTTGTCTGAAAAGGAAGAGCCTGTGAAAAAGGAGGCGAGTTCAAAACAATTTTGTAAATTTTTGGCGGTTTGGTTTCTTTTCATGATGTCTATATTTATACCCATTCTCACTTTCTGTCTTTTAACCTTTTGCAGCCCGAGTCACAAATTGCTGCCACCAAACCTAGGAAGGCATAAGCATTGCTCTTCCATGTTTTTTTTGTGTGTTTTTGTCATGACTGCTTTTAAGATATGGTTCCTTGGGATGATGTTTGTGCTAGAGAGAATTGTCGGACTTTTTATGCCTATCCTAAGATTCATCTATTGTTTCCAATTCAGTTTTCTTCATCTAGGCTGTTTTCTTTTTTAAAATGAGAATGCTGTTTTGCCTGGCATTGAAGTAGTCTCCAAACAACCCCAGATCCCTCCCCCCAACCTGGACTCATCTCGCCATGTTGGTAAATCATTAAAATGGACTTCGTTTTTTCCACATTTTACAAAAGAAATAATGGTATGTTTGGGAATATGGATTTGGATTTCAAATTTGGATTTGACTCAAATTTCATGTTTGGGAAATTTAAAAATTTTGAATTTGGATTTGAATAAAATTCTTCTCATTGATAACAAAGGTTAATTTGAAATCTATGCACCTCTTATTGTCATTTGAAATTTAAGATTTCAAATTTTGGGATTGAAATGCATGAATTGAAATGAAATGCTTGTTGCCAAACACTATTAAAATAAATTGTATAATAAGTTCTTTGTAACAAGGGTTTTTATATCTAATCTTTTATTATTGAATATCATGTTTGTGGTTGCTTAAAAAACTATGTTTGTGGTTGTTTTATAGGTAGTTCTTCATGGATATTTATTTATTTTTTGTCATGGTGTTAAATTAAGTATTAAAAATGTAGTTTTACATTGATCTATATTTTGATATCAATTTGACACGCAATATAGCTCAGAATCAGTATTTCAACAACTCCAATATGTCAATATGATAAAGGTAAAAAAAGACTATTTGTAGAGATGTACTTTTAAAAGGATTATAGATATAATATTTAATACTCACTCCGTCCCTCTAAGACGTTCTCATTTTAACTTTTGATGGTTTTTAAGTAGAGTTGAAAAAAGGTGGAAGTTTACCATAATATCCTTAATGAAAATGGGTGGAGTGTATTAAATGAGGTGGGTGAGGTGTAATAAATAAAGTAAGTGGGGGTAGTTGTGGTATTTTAATTGTTAAAAAGTGAAATGAAAAGATCTATTGTGGATAAAGAAAAAGGGCTATTGGGAAGATCTATGGAAGACGGAGGGAGTAATACAGAACTGAATAAGAAAAAAATTTAAACTATAAAAAGTGAATTATTTAACTTACTCTCAAGTCTCAATAGTACACCTCGCCATTTTATTTTGTTTTTCAACAAAAGTACTTTGATTAGCAACGTGCAACTGAGTAGCCTTCTCGTACTATAGCACACTACGATATCCAAAATGTGAAGGTATAAAACATAAAAAAATTCAAAATTTATATTTTATAACAAAATAAGAATACAAACTAGATATTTAAATTTGATATCAAATACGAATAATAATAATTGTTTGAATAGAAAAAAAAAAAGAAAAATTATACTCCCTCCGTCCCAATTTAAATCGTTCGTTTTGACTTTTGGGCATATTTAAGAATAATAAAAAATAGAGTTGATTTTTCGAAATTGACATTACTTTTTAAGAGGGGTAACAATGAATGAGAATATAAGATGAAAAAGAATGACTTATTTTAAGGATAGTTTAGTTATTTTATTTTTAAAAGTTTACGAAAACAACTAACAAGCAATTTATTTTGGGACGGAGAAAAAAAGCAAACAGACAATTTAAAATGGAACGGAGGGAGTAACATTTTTCAAATACGAATAAAATTTCACAATATTCAATTCATCCCTTTTACAACCTTGGATGTTAGTACCATAATTATTAACCGGCGCGTTTAGTAAATGAGGCCCAATTGAAAACTTAACTCAATTCTTTTTTGCAATTACCCTTGTGTCAAATTTAAATATTCAATCACACTCTTCCAGCGTAACAAAATTTTCATATGCCCTTCATTATCTGACACACTATTCACAAGATGAATCTTAATTCACTTTGTTTGATTATTTTTACAATTAATTTCATAATATAATATTTCCTCTATTCCTAAAAAATTGTCACTGTTTAATTTTTTTAGTCAAACTTGTCACCATATGACCGCAAATTATGAAAAAATATATTTTATTATAATGTAAATTTAATAAATTTGGATTTATTTTAAACTATAGTTTTGAAATATCAAATTTTTATAATATTTAATTATTTTAAACTATATTTAATTCATGATCAAAAAGTGACACAATTTGACCAAAAAATTAAACTATAACAATTTTTTAAGGACAGAAGGATACTTCCTCTCACAATAAATGCCAGTCTTTGATTAACATACAAAATCTCATCAATTTTAAAATCAATTTAATTACAAATAAGTATAAAAATAAAAAGTATAAATAACACAGTTCAAAAATATCTAAAAAATATTATACAACTAGAGGTGACAAGAATATTTTATTTTATGAAATAATTAATGAAAAAACACAAATAAACAAAAGTTATCAAGAAGCCTTAATAATGACAATGACAACTATTTTAGAACGGAGGAGTACAATCCTATCACCTCTTGTTTTCTGCCAATACAACTTTTTATGTGGTTTTAATTATACAGATTTTATTTTATATTTTACACATATAATTAAATTAATCAATTTGAAAATAAAGTTAGCCATAATAACGTGTAATAAGAAAATATATAAGTGATGGAAAGGGTATTTTTTAAAATGATGTCACCTATAAATTCATATAGAAATAAAAATTACTCTCCGAATTAGCCTGTGAATTTTTAAAATTTACATAAATTATTCTAAATACTACCTCCGTCCTAAAGTATTTATTCACTTTCATTTTTACACACCATCCAATACACTTTTTTAATCTATTTTTTCTTGTAATTTGTATATTAAAAAATTATAGAAATTATATATTAATAATCTATATGTTAAGACAAGTCAAAATACTCATGAACACGAATATTCATGGAGTGAGGGAGTATAACGGAGTACCTGCGTAAGGAGGCAGTAATACTTCATAGAAACATCCCATTATCTCCCCCCAGTCCCCCACACTGGTCAATTAGCTTTGCCTTCATTCTCTACAGTTTCATCGTGATAGATTCAGGTACTTCTTTTTCTACCTTCGATCTTCAATCTTCGTTGCCTAAACCTTCGAACCTATTAATCGAATTTCATAAGGTTAAGGCTTGTTTGAATTATCCAGGTACGATAAGGCACTTTTTAAGTTTTCCCCCCATTAATGGGTTTTAGATCTGTGGTTAAAAAACACCGAATATAAGAAACCAATCTACAGATCTTATACTAGCCCTAGTTTATGTTTACGAAGTTGTTGATGAAACGCCACCCCGCAGATCTCATTTTCACGTTTCAGTGTAGTAATTTCGAATTTGCGAGTTTGTGTATTCCTTTTTTTTCGATTTTATGTTCTTTTAGTTATAGCCTGATGATTCGGCTCTATATATTCTTGTTCTCAATTTTTTGTTTTTTTGTTAGATTTTTAAATTTTAGGAGTATCTATGACATTGAAATAGGCTCGAAATGTAATTTAATTATTTATATTATCTATTGTATTGCATTTTTAATATTATTGCACAAGGAAATTGAAATTTTATTACAGCTCTGGATTGCTTAGTGAAAAAAGGTGTTAACATTTATGGTTCAATTTATACTTTATAGAGTGAGAGGCACAAGCTGATTTCACCCCTTCAATGTTTGGGAAGAGATGAATTTACAATAGGTTAAACTTTATTATCTTCAACCACAAAATTGCTTCTGAATTTCTTAGATTTCTTCTTTGTTTTTGTTTTTATTTTTATTCTTTTTGTTATTTTTTTGGCAAATTAAAGTCAATAATGTATTTTCAGAAAGTCATTTTTTTGGTTCTAGAGATGAACACATTGTGTGCCATCAATGAAAGGAAATAAGGAAGTCTCGGATCTCGTGGTATTCCCTTTAATAGGCGAAGATTATAGAGTACAGTAGATGAGTGGATTGCTAAATCTTTTACTTCCATCATGATTTGAAATAATCTTTAAGAATTCCCATATAAAATCAATCCATAACTTTACATACGACATTGGAAATAGGTTTTGCTTAAAGGGTACAAGAGCTCATAACTTTACAAGTCTTGTACCTCGATTGAGTTGACTTATAACTGTTCTTTAAACAATTAAACGCGCTACCAGATTTGAAGCATTTTGAATTTTTACCTAATGATATATTGAGAAATCTTTTATGTGCGATTGTGTTTTAGTCGGGAGTCTCTTGGAAACAGCCTTTCTACTTCTTACTCCCTTCCCATACCCTCCTCTTGTGGGATTTTACTGGGTTGTTGATATAAAGAGAAATCTTCATGTTAGGCCTTCGTGACAGGTTTGGTAAGGATTGACATCTTCCGCCCAGTTGCTTTTTGTAATATACGTAATCCAAGGCAATCTGATGGTGGATGTCAATTTTTTCCGAGCAAATCTTTTAGAAAGGATTGACATGAAGATCTCTTTTCCCTTTTATGTCTCGAAACACACTCACTCACACATACCCATACTAAGACCATCTCCACTCGTGCGGCAAATCCTCAGTTTTGGTGTTGTCCATTACACCAGTGGTGCTTCATATCTCATCCCAAAACAAGTTTTTGTAACCCTTCTTTCCACTTCAAACACAAATATGCCTTGTAGTATAGAGCACTGCATTTTTTTTCCCTAATTTTTTTTGTAGCATATATAGTAAGGTTTTTGTGGCCCTGACTGTTTTCAATGCCTACTACTTTTTTTTGTAACTTTCAAAATGTAAGATCTAATAAGAAAAAGAATATACCGTGAGAAATTTGTTCGAGGTTGATTGTTTGAATTTGGTGTACTCGATTGTAGATGAGTTACTGTTTGATTTGACATTTACGGCATGTTAGGTTTGCGTGAGGTGCATATGGTCTATAAGGTGATTGTATGATGTTAATGTGCATTTGCTGTGTGCATGAATGAATAGATAGGATGGATTGGGAAGGGCAAAAGGCAGCGGAGCAACTGATGCAGATACTGCTGGTGTCATCTGCACTTGTGGCACTGTTCGTAGGCTATGCGTTGGGTTCTTTTCAGACCATGATTCTCATCTATGGCGGCGGCGTTGTGCTCACATCTTTGATCACTGTTCCAAACTGGCCCTTCTTCAACCGTCACCCTCTCAACTGGCTGGATCCTCTCGAAGCCGAAAAGCACCCCAAACCACAGGTTGCTTCTACCAACTCTTCTTCTAAAAAGAAATCATCCAAGAAGTAGCAAGTAGATGAATTGAAGAAAGATGTGTCTGGATTACCAGACATATCTTATCTTCGAACCGAATTTGGATAGAAGAAAGAAGCATTTTTTTTTGGGTTTAAGCTTGACCTTGGACTTCATGGATTTCTTCTTGTTGCTTACTGTTACGAATATACTACTTGCCAAAAAATGCTATTACCATAATCTTTCCCTCTATTTATATTGTCCTTCACCTTATCTTTTTTTAGGGATCTTAATCTCAGAAAAATATGCATTTCAAAGGTAAAGATATTGTTGACTAGGGATTAGTTTACTTTGAATGAGTTCTTTTAGTTGAGAGCGATCATGAATATATGAACGAAAATGCTAATGTTGCTTGGTATGAGGCGTTAAAGGTAAAGCCGAGTTCAAATCTTGACAATTCTGTTATGAGACCATAATGCAAAACATGAGGTTTTTACTATTATCAACAGAGAACTTCACTTAGCATTAGTTATTTTGAGATTATGACTCAATCTATCTCTTCGCATGTGATTGTTCGGCCGCTCTTGAGGGATTCTATTTCATGTTTGATCTAGAAATTCTAGATATTCAAGTTTTAGATATCCAAAATTTCAGCTCCGATCAATAGTATATCTGAAATGAATTTTTTATTTTTTTAATGACCCTAAAAATATCCTGGATGGATTTTTAGATGTTAAAATAGTGGAGCTCAGAAATTAGATTTGAATTTAAAGTCAAATATATTTAAATTTCATATTTACTTTGATGGTGTTAATGTTATCAAAACTCATAATTATATGGACATACATGGGAAAAAATATCTACATAATGAACAAATGAAATATAGAAAAAATGAGTAAGACCACTGTTTTACAAAACTCAAAGCTCTATTGAACTATTGCTACTTGTGTTGTGTGGTCTTGAGGCACCAACAACTTGTGACCATGCCATCAGCATCCTATCAACATAATGAAATGAAGCATTTGGACTATCTATTATCCTAAACTCATTTGTACGTGAACTACTCAATCCGATTATATGAACAAAAACTCGAAAATTCATTGTTGATATTTGGATGATTGACCATGTGACGAATCAAATTACATACGGGTGGATATATCTCTCGCCCATCACTCGATCCAAGCATTCACCGCACATATTCGTTAAATTTCTAATACTTTGTATATTAACGGAGTATGGAGTATTATTTTCTTTATAATAATTTGACCACATAATATGAATGAATGGAACAACAAATGAACAATAAATAGATGGCTGAGGATGAAAACTTTACCCAACCCAAACTCGACCTATTGTCATTTCTACTAAAAATCCCAACCTAATTATGCTTCTAAAAAGAGTTGGAATTAAGAATTAAGATTTCTCAAGTTTCACACCACTCTACTAACAATCCCACTTCTCAACATGAAATTTGTGAACCTCAATAAAAAAAGTGGTGTCAAAATTAAGGTGGCCTAACAATCTAACACACTTCTAGAATCACAATGAGTAGTAGTCAATCAATACAATGAACAGCATAAATCCATTAAATATTCTTAACATTACAACAACACAACCAAAAGTCATAACAACAACACTAATCCTCACTTATTCAAAACCATAAGGTTTTGTTTCATGGAATTATCACTATGCATTATTTCAAATAAAATGAATGCTAATTAATAGCAATAATTCCATAGGAGTACATTACATACATTACACTCTTTCACACCCACACACAAATGTCAAACAAATATATGATCTGTTGTATCATAATACATCTCCGTGTACTAATCAATTGCGATTAGTTGACACAAATTTCAACCAATCGCAATTAATTTTGTAAACCGAGTGTTACAATTTGTGATACAACAGATCTTCAAGCTTCCCCCGTTTCACATAGAAATGAGGGCGGTTTTATTTTTATTTTTTTGAAAAAAAAATGATTATTTTGCTCGGCCAGAGGGAACAAAGGAGATCAATTTTTTAGACTTGGCCCAGGGCTGGACCACAACCTCGGCGTCGAAAATCCGGACTTTGCCGTCGCCGTCGCCGGCGGAGATGCGGAGGAAGTACTTGATTCCGGCCACCACCTGCTCCTCCGCGTGGACGACTTTGAAGAAGACCAGAGGCGGCGTGCCCGGCGTCTCCTTCTTGAGGAGATCGTTCTTCGCCTTCACGCAGTAGAGCCCTAGATTCTGAATCTCCTTGTTATTCTCAACGTCCTTTATCTCCTTTCTCCCGCCCACCTTCCCGCCGCTTCCGAGTGCGGCGGCGGAGGCGGCGGAGAGCGTTAGGAGGAGGAGGAGGGAGAAGAGGATAAGGTAGCGGTTGAGACTGATTTTCTCCATTTTTTTCCTAGAGAGAGAAAGAGAGAGAGAGATTGGGTTGGGTGTCAGTTAGTGGAGAGGAATGAGGGGGACGTAACGGACATAATAACGAGAGGAGGCGTCATGGCAAGAAATAGTTTTAAATTGGCAGGGCGCTGTCCATAATTATTGAGACAGACAGCTCATTTTATTGAGCAATGCTAGGGATACACATATAATTAATGAGACAGATAGCTCATTTTATTGAGCAATGCCCTAAATGTACACCACTCACTTCTCTACCACTCATTTTTATTTTATTTTTATTTATTTATTTTTTTTTTGAATTTCTTGCTTTTTTTGTGGACAAAGAGGGGGTGGGGGACAAATGGGGTACACATTTGGTGTACCCCTAGCATTTTTCCATTTTATTTCCAAAATTCTACTCAATTCTTTACACAATTATTCCAATTTTCCCGCTTTTTCACTTTATCTGATTTGAATAGTTTTAATTTTATTAGAATAAATTATAATTTGATTTAATTTAATCAGATCTAACTTGATTGTAGATATTTTTTAAAACTATTTCTAATCTGATCTGATTCTAATAATAATAAGTTGAGAATAAAGTCATATTCTCTTCACCTGATCTTATTGCTTTCAATCCAATTGAAATAAATTCTGGTCTGAATGTGATTATTTTAAAGTTATTTCTGATATGATCTGATTCTAATAATAATATATAATAAGTAAAAGAAATAAATTGAAGATTACATAACCTAAGTGTTCAACTTTTTTGATACATTAATAAATGAATGAATTTAAAGTTTAGATATACTTTATGTTACATTAATTCATTTTAATATCTCAAAATAGTTTAATAGACAGTTAATATGGATTATGGAATGACAGAGTGTTTATATATTCTTCTGTTCATAAATTTTAAACTTATTTTGCATTAGGGTATCTAATTAAAGTTAATTTTAATTTATTTTATATGCAAATTGATAAGAAATTAAAAAATAAAAATTATACTTATTCTAAAACTTACTCCCTCCGTCTCATTTTATAACGCCTGTTTCGGTTTACGATGTTTGACTGAAGTTATTTTCAAATCATTTTATATGACAAATGGTATAGAATTAAAAAATAAAAATTACATATCAAAATACTACATCAAAAGATCTACAAAACTAGTAGTGACAACAATATTTATTTTATCAATTTGCTAACGAAAATAGAGAAAGAAAGTGAATGAAGTTTGACCCTGTGAATAGTGAACAGGCATTATAATTTGGGACGGAGGGAGTATCATTTATGGCATATTTGATCACAAATTAAGTACTCCGTATAAAACCATAATTTTAAATGGCAGGAACTATCCTAAGCCAAAATAGTCAACGGGACCGAACAAGCACATGTCTGTGAAATGAAAACTTTGCCAAGGCAAGTCACAAGTTTGATTTTTGACAATTGCGTTGCAAGGTAACTAAGTTAAGAGTAGATCTCTGAAAGTACCAGGCGCATGCTCCACTCTTTGACATCAATCTGTGATCAAGATCTAATTTATCTCCTCTTAGTGTCCGTCGCGCCTGAGGGAGTCCTGAGACTCATTTTTTCTCTGTGTAATGAAAACTTGGTTGAGTTGTCAACCACATTATCCGAATGCTCTTTGGTTATTTTCAAACACAAAAAATGGCCCGCGCATATGGAGTATCAAATTGTATTCCAAGTTGTATCCCATATCTTTCATCACCATATAATTTCTTGTGTAGACCCATAATTATTAAAAATTGTGTCAAGTCAAACGCAAAAAATAATTCTGGGACGGAGGCAGTAAAAATTAAAAAGTGAATTAACAAATGTGTGATCAAATGAATGGTGGGTACAATCTGGTGTATAATTTGGTGTATCCCTAGCGTTACTCTTGATAGGATGAATGAACATTGATCTCTTCACCAGATCACACCATCATCATCATATTTGATTCTATATGTTAAGAGTATACTATAAAAGAAGAGTGAGCTCTGGATTGAGGAATACCAGTTAAATTAAGTCCTAGCACTCATTGTAAGTCTCAGACATGATGAGAAGCACAAGAGCGGTCCACCCAGTGAAGCGCGCCCCTTTACCCTTCCCGTTCTTCGGATCATACTGTTCCCATAGATACCCAGTTCTGTGATAGTTTTGCACAACATTTCTGGCACAATGGATATAGGGTTAGTGTTATTTAATGCGGAGTAAGTTGGAACAATAGAAATGTGTGTTTAAATTGTAAGCCTTGGAATTACCTTATCAGATTGCTCCTGAGTTCTTGATAGATAGTTTTGGCTCTCTCTCTGTATGGTCCAGGCTCTACCGTAAGAAGCAAAGAAATTAATACAGCACACTAAATGGGAATATTTGCTTAAAAGCCTCATTGCCAATTTTTTATTGTTTTTATTTTAACCAAACACTTCTGAGTAGGGAGACACACCCTCCCCAAACCCTAATTTTTGTGGGATTTTACTGGGTTTGTTGCTGTTGTTTACCAAAGAATAAACACAAACTTATTTAACTGAGATGAAGTTGCTGAAATGAATGAAAATGAGAATAAGATGAAGTTGAGAATGAAAATGAGAATAAACACAAACTTATTTATCAAAGATGAAGTTGCTGGGTTTGGTGTGATCTGATTCCAATAAGAATAAGTAATAAGTTGAGGAGAAATGGCCTTTGTCCTGCTATTTTTGTCAATTTTCATTTTTATTTTTGTTTATCCTACTAATTTTCTCTGATATTTATGTAGTTCATATTCATACTTTATCTTATTTTTTAAGATCAATATCAACGACACAATCTTTGCTATCGTAATTCAAGTAGCATTCCCTCATGTCCCAAAAATAGTGGGACGGAGGGGGTAGTTTGCTTAGATTATTGAGGAAATACGTAGTATATTCTTTTTTTCGACAAATCAGCAACTTCATCATTTTCAAAGTTAGCAACTTCATCCATTTCAACCGAATTCACCCACGCCAAACAGACCCTAAGTGAAACAAAGGGAAAATGATTAAGAGTGAACTGAAACTGCTTTCTTCTAAAGGGAGTTTACCTCTGGAGTAATGGTGAAGTGCGCCAAGAGTCATGTAATTGAATTGCATCCAAATGGCACCTCTCCAATATGAGGGGTCGTGCTCCGTGTTACGCTTCATATACATGGAACTGTCACATGACAAAACCGTCAATGTATTTTGATATAATATGTTAAAGAAATGCAGGCCGGATGTAAAAAGTTCTGTTGAGAACACTACTACCTTGTTTTGGCAAGAGATCTGAGACCAAAATCTGTCCACAAAGTACTCTTATTTGAAATCAGGTCTAGCTGTTTCTCTAATATCCATGACCCCTATGTGCAAGACAACAAATTAATCCACACAGATGAACCAAACCGTAGGACTAAGTACTCCATCTGTTTCTGAATAAGCTTTGCACTTTAACTTTGTGCATAAATCATGAATCAAATTAAAGATTACTCAATTCTAGACAAGATTAAAATGAATAGAAACTTATTCCTTTCTGTAAAACTTAAAATCTCCTAAATTTTCAGAACAAAACAAAGTGAAAATGGAAAAAATGTGGAATGAAATCAAGTAATGATTTATGAAATTCCTAGAATGAAACTTAGAAAAAAGAAAAAAATACCAAAGCAATGCTTATTTAGAAATGGATGGAGTGGCCATAAAAGCTGTAGTTGAACAGAATATTAGAGAGGAGAAATTTACTGGAGGGATGAGTTTGGCCATTAATGGGAAAAGGCTGACATATCCAGCATGAGGAACCAGTTTTAAGACAGGCTTATCTAAGACTTCCCTTAAAAGCTCTCTGTTTGGATGGTTGCTGCCTGACCCAACTATTTTCCAGGATAACCGAACCTACAAATCAGAAAGATGATTAAGAACGACATATATTAACTTTGCTTACCCTCACTACACCATAGGTAGTAGCTGTTAAGAATGCAAGGTGAACCGAGGGCAGTGCAATGGGGCCTCCAGGAGGCACAAATACTAATTAAAACTGACCTATTCATATTGATATTCGAAACACAACTCATTAACCTTGACAAACAAGATAACACTAACTCTCACAATAAAGTGTAAATAACTTGGTGTGTACCCAGCAGTGGTCAACTGGTCATTGGGCATGGGCATGACGGGAGAGAAGAGTAAGAAAATACGGAGTAACAAAAAATGAGTAAGAGAAAAATTTTGGAAGAGAAAGTAATACACGGGAATGCCATGGTCAACAAAATAGGCATCCTTTGTGAAGTGAAATGGGAAAGAAAACAAGTTGTGTGATGAAAAATGGGAGAGATGAGTTGATAGAAATTTGGCGGGCAACCATTAGGGAAAGGGATATTTGGTTGTATACTTGTATGTTGGGCATGACATGGTCATTGAGTGATGGGGCCACGTGGAAGAGTGAGAAATTTTCTAGTATCCCCAATATACAATGTATCAACAATGTACCTTCTCGGTGTGATTTCCATAATCAAAATATGTTGCAGAGGAACTATCAAAATGCATCTGCAGAGCAAAACGTAACCAGATTTAAACTGATATATAAGATAAATAGATCTTACTTAGTAGGTGTACAATAATTATAGTGATAAGTAACCCTCATGGACGGACAATTCAATCGGAGAAAACGGAAAAAGAGTATGATACCTTATTAAGAAGCTCAAAGTCTGAAAGCAGTTTTGCTGTGAAGCCATAGTCCTGCACAAGCTCATCATAGGACTTGGTCCATTACAATCATAAATTTTCAAGACTCCCCCTTCCCCCTCTATATAGCTTAACAAATTTTCAATATTCTACCCCCAAAACCACTCTTAATTGTTCACCTGGTGTTTACTTTCCCTCTTGAGAAGCTTCGTAATGGAATGCATGCAATCTGCTGCAAGAAACATCCAGCATCTAAGGTCCAGATGTCGTTCGTCTTCATCTGGATGAGAAGCACGTGGATAATCGTCCAATCCAGAAGAGAGTGTCTGATAATCCCAGTAGACAAAGAACAAAGGGATATCAATTGGTCATTTTGATAAATGAAGCCTTACAAAGGCAATTCATCATGTGTTTGTTTTGTTTTTTCTCTCTCATAAGCACAGTTTTAAAAGAACTTTAGGGTGAGTGGGAAAGTAGTATTCATATCGTCAAGGAAGAAAAAATGTGATACTCATAAAGGAAAATTGAGTTCATCCAGATGAATACAAGTACAAGATGTGAACCAAAACCTTTGGATTTAGTTCACGAGTAGTAGTGTTGTCTCTCCCATGCCAGAAATAACTCCCGAAATCCTTTCCTGTAATAAAAAAGGTTTTTATTTGTAAATAAAGTGGCTTTTAAGATGGACCATGAATTGTATGTAAGGAACAAAAGCTTTCACCGTTCCGGGTCTAATCCAATTCTCAATATTTAGTCTCTAAGGATCCCTATCAACAACTCTACAATTGAAAACATATGTTAATATGACATAAAGACAACAATTTATGCAGCCTCCCAGCATATAGCTCCAATATGAGGCAATGAAGGCCAAAGTGAGAAGAGGCGAAGTGTTTATTTATGGACTAAACCATCAATGAGAAGGATTAATGATAATTGTGCACTCTTGTAATTGCGGCCTCTACTAGTATTTTATGCGCAAGATGACAAAGTTACTTTTTGAAATTTTAAAAGTCATAAGCATGTTTATGTGTAAAAAAAATCTGTGTGCATGAAATCTTTGTCAACAACAACAAACCCAAGAGAGACGTTTTCCGTTAGACCCTTGATGCATTTACTTACCAAAACTTAATAGTTCATAGAGAAATCAAAATGGATTTTTTAGTTCCATTAGCTACACAAATATTTCATAGAATCTTTGTGTTGATTAAAATTTCCAAGTTTCAGGGAGGGGTGTAATGTAGGCTACCTTCCTAAGTTTGAAGAAGGGGTTAAAATGTTTTCCCAAAGGAAAAAGTTGGAGCTACAAATTTACATTGCTGCTTGGTTAATAGAAACAGTGCTGCAAAGAACCGTTCTTTGAAAAGCAACCTTACCAGACTGTGTGGTATTGAACCAATTGAACCACGTTTCAAGACGAATTAATGCATTGTCCAAGAAGATAGATATGTCATTTCTTTCCGCAGCAGAAAATTTATTTTTCTTAATGCCACAAATCAGGTCTGCAAAAGGGAATTTTTATACTGGTCAATAAGTTTATGATAGTATTTCAAATTTACAAATGATAAAGACAATCTTTTCACTATGTGCAATCCAGAATGCAGACATAAATAAAAATCCCAGAACTAAAAAAAAGGATATTTAGGGAATACCCCGTAAAGCCAGAAACAGTGTTGGAGGATTTCCATTAGTTGGATGTTGAGGAACAAATTCTTGAGGGACCTTACTGAGAAAAAAAGCAGGCCTGGTCTTACAAACTGAGAAAATGTATAAGCTCATAATTTTCTCAGAAGAGCTCTTGTCCTTACCTTAAAGCTTCAGCACCTAAAATTTGCTCACGTGGAATCCATCCATCAATGTTCATCAGATCCAACCAATGTCCAATAATATCCAAGCTAATATATTTATCCCACTGCCTAATTATGTCAGAATGATGTAATAATTGTCAGGTTGGCATGCTAAGGAGCAAACATCAATACAAAAATTTGCTGAAGCTTGCACACATAAAGAATATACCGACCAAATAATTAACTGATGAAAACCTTCATCCCAGAGAAATCCCCTAGGAAAGAAGGGCCTGCTTGGAACTGCTGAATATAACTCAGCAGGCCAATATAAAAGATATTTATCCTCCATGTCAACCTGCATGAGTCAATAGCAGGCTATGACTTATATGAATATATTCAAATAAGTAAACAATAAAAAAATTTAACCTCAAAGCTGCTTGCCATGCAAAAAATCAATCCACAAAGGTCAATAAGTTATATAACCATGAACCTTAATCACAAGAAACATAGTATATACTCCATCCATCAGGTAATTTTCTTCCCTAGTTGACCGGCACACTTTCTTAGGCAAGTAAAAATCTGCACTGCCCTCCTACACTATTCACCACTGAGAATGGGAAAGAGCAGACCGGTCGAACAGCCATTGTAGATACGGATGAGAAAGAGGTTATAATAGGCCAGCTGCAGTTCAGCAGCATTGGCTTGAGTTTGTATCTATAATGGTTGTGGAAGTAACTGGGTCAGGTTGAAAGTCTTGAATTCATAGTAACGGCCAAAAATGAGGAAATGTGATCTAGAAGAACACCAAACAGCAACCAATTCGGGTCAGCAGCTTCTTGAATCCATAGTGCAGAACAGCAACCCAGTCCTTCCATAACCCTGAATTGAGAAGACCGGATGAATTCAGGCACAAAGTGGAGATGAGATCTTGAAGAAGAGTTGAAGAGTGAAGATGAGATCTAGGGTTGAATGGGGGTTGGGAGGATAGTAAATGGGAGTCAGTGGGAAATTATTTGCAAGGGTATACGAGATTCAACACAAAATAATTTGCCGAATACGGAAATAAGAGAAAATTTCCAACGGCTCAAAAAAAAAGGAAAATGAGAAGAAAATTTCCCAACGGGATGGAGTACTCTTAAGGATATATTCTCTTATAAATTAAGGGTGAACATTCTTATAAAAAAAGAGAGTACCAAAATTAGGATTTTATGGATGGGAAAAAGTTTGCTTGTGGGAAATACTGCAAGGTTGAATGGGTGAAGAAGACAATCACAAAGAACTGAACCCTCAGAATTGTTCTAAAAATGGGTTTTGCATTATATTCTTTGGTGCCTCAAAGAGCCTATTAAAACCAATTTAACTCTATTAGAGTACTCTCTTTTTCTCTTTAACAGATACAGATTAGCTTGCAAAACAATATACTCCAAAAGTGGGAACTTTTTTTTTGGACAAAATATGATAGTATTTGTTGTTGTTATTGCTGTTTTGGAGGAGGGGGAGGAGTGGAGACAAGACACTGAAACAGTAAATGAAAGAAAATACCTCTCCAGCACAGACTATCTAGCAAAAATTATGTGGTTCTCATGGGATTGAGATGTGCATGGCCCTGATATTTACTTACATACTTGCAAAGAGAGTGGTATCTTACTCTAGACGCCTTTGGAAGTGCAATCTTTGTTTGTCCATAGAAGTAGCCAATTCCACCCAATGTCTGCGCGAGAGCATCCCTACCCACCGTCAAAGAACCAGAATCTAGCTGATGAAAATAGAAAACAAAACCACAAGGTTAAAGCCTCAGCATGGAACTCTGTATTGTATTGTGTATAACATGCAGTTGCACAAAACCGCAAGGTTAAGCCCTCACCATGTGATGTACATGCAGACATGTACATCACATATTTTACTCCTGATTACACTATTAAAAAAAACAAATATAGCTGTATATATCCATCCATTTATTTTCTGTGTAATGCAAATCAAGGTTGCATAAGAATGCCATATATCTATAGATGATAAAACCTGTCACTCGATAAAAAATATTATCCAATTACTTGGACGGGCAGCATTAGTTATTTAGTTTTAGCTGTGAAACACATCATAACTTTCTCCTTTTACCTATCTTTTTGCTAATTCAATTCTGTTAAGAATATAAGTGGTATTTATTTAGCTAACTCTCTCGAAGATAAGATGAATAAATAAAATATGTCTAATTCGTTAAAAAATTTAATTAACATAAAAATTATAATGTAACTGCTGGAAAGCTGAAAATACTCCATCCGCCTCATAATATTATTCCCGTTCGCTTTTAGTACACTCATAAAAAAAGTAAAATTGTGCGATTGAGGTTTATGTTATGGATCCCATTGCTGAGATCCAGTATCAGAGAAGGGGAAGGCGCTAATAGGCCCGAGCTGATGTTCAAGTGTGCTCCAGGAGGTGTATTGAAGCTATTTTTAATAATTATGTTAAATTTCATCCGATTTCTAATTTCCTTTTAATTATTGTTTCTGTTTCCTTAGTAAGAATAGTTGTGTTAGGACTTCTCAACATTTACATTGGGTGCAGGGAATATTAACATCTATTTATCAGCAAATTATTACTCCGGGTCTTCCTAAATTGTCACCGACTCTTGGTAAATTTCTAAGCTCTTCACTGCAGCGGTGCAGCCACGGGCATAGAAGAACTCAGTTCAACCTCTTCTGCTTCTTCCCATCACATGCCTTGGGCTAGGTCTACTAGCATCACCTTTAACACTTTATTTAGAAAGGAACGAAACGATATCTAGGAAACTTTAAAAGGTGGCATAAACAGAGGGCTTCATATCAACCACACATCTCTTTCATTTTAAAGAAACATGAAAGATAGTTGGGACGTTCCAAAAATAAAACATGAAGAAAATTGTGGGTATGAGCTTTTGAGTGAAACACCTGAAAAAGATATCTAGGAAACTTTAAAAGGTGGCATTAATGGAGGGCTTCATATTTACAGTTACGTGCAATAGAATATTCAAATTTAATCCACGCGAAGTAGTCTTAGAACCTAAACTGGCATATAGGTATATAAACAGAAGGGTCAAAGTCAAAGGAAGAGCTTCCATAGTTCCATGTTAATATTGGTATTTAGCTGGTGTGTTACTACAGGGCAATGATGCCAAGAGGTACATGGAATGGCAATCTCCCAACTATACACCTATTCTGAGATGAAAGGAATCATCTTATGCAGAGGTACCTGGTCGGATACATTATAGCATCTCTTGAACTTGTCATCAAACTCCTTCTGCTTCTCATTTAATAGACTGGAGAGTGAGGTTCCTGGGAAAATGAAGAACACATAAATTTCAATGATAAAGGGGAGATTTCACAAGCACTGTTAGCACGAGTACATACTGTGTCACATGTTCCAAAACAATGAAGTTTATCATGAAACATAAGAACAGTAACTTTGTGTAACATAGATGTGAAACACACCTCTGAGGTTGCTGAGACGCTCCTCAACTCTCGAATCTTGTAATTCAGTTCCAGAAACAAAAACAATGTCAGCTTTGAGAGACAGCATAGCAGAGATCTGCATTTAATCCGTTAAACTGCTTAAGGATAGGCAAGAAAGATAATCAACATTTCGTCTATCTCTTAAACAATGCCGCAGAATACAGTGAATGAATAGGTAATATGTACCTGGAAAACTATAATATTTGAAGAGTCGTCCAGTGTATCGGAAAGCTGCAAGACACCAGCCTTTCTTGCCTATTGAGAAAAAATATGGAAAATCATATTATCACTTTCGTTCCAACAAAATGTTATCAAAGAAAATGTTTGGTATGTGTAGAACATGATAATGTAAGTTTTAAACTTATAGTGTATCAGAGGAGAAAATACATAGCATTTCCTTTCCAAAAAAATGCATAGCAATTCATACTTTGACTCCCAGATTTTCTTGGACAAGGTCCGATAAATTGTGGATATGAGGTGTCTTGAAACCCGAATAGTGGATATCAAAATAATCCTGCAAAAAAAAAAAAAAAACTAACAGCTATAAACATGAAGGTCACTATCAGTATGACATTGAATCGAATCTATACAATGTAATTCATTTCTTTAATTGAAGGAAGCAAAAGTACATGAAAGCCTCATTGCAGGAAAGCTAAGGTTCAAAGTTCAAAAGACAGAAGTCATGGAAACATGCAAAAAGTGAAATACATTATAGATAGAGTCAAACAAGTGTGCAAAGAAGTGCAGCTATATATATACCCGCAATTGTCTAGATTACATACCATAGATTTTTCAAATAAAGTACCTCTGATTTTAAATGGAGTTCCCAGCCTCCAACATCACTATGGGATCCAAGTGCTATGGTAGACTCGTAATCGGTGTCTATGGCCCCTTCACCCAAAGTTAGAGCATTTCCACCTTCATCAGCCATGTAAAAGAAGAGGTTCACCTTCTTTAACATTTCCTCGTCAACTACAGATCTGTCAGACAAATTGAGTAGAAAAGTTTTTTTTTTCAAAAAAAGAAAGATACAGAGTATCAAATCCAATGCCACATTAACAGAAAAAGTGTGATTTCTCTTTCAATGCTAATAAAGTGTAATGTAGGAGAAACCAGATGAAAGGAAACGATATTTGCAAACAAAATTGCAGGTGGTTCATTTTGAAGATCTTGGCTATAGCTTAAAGTACTACTCCAGATATTTTACTCCAAACAAGGTTTAAGAAGGCAGGGTTGAAGAGGGGGGAGAAGGGGTTTAGAAAAAGATGTGGTTACAAGTATTTCCAAAGTAAAATGCATGTTAAGATGGGCACATGGCAGCAAATATATTGAGCCTCTTATACTAGAAGTCTAGAATAAAGTAGAGAGTATTTGAATTCAGAATTTGAAATGGAGAAGGACATGATAAGAGTAAGAAGAAGTACTCATCCACATTTGCTTCAAATCGAGCTGCCCAGTCTCCACCGTAGCCACTTCCTTTTGCCTTTGACTTCAAAAAACTTGTTGTCAATGTCATCATATGATCAGCTAAATGTTGATGCCCATAATCCCGTCCATTATGCCTAGTCCAGCCATACGTTTTGAGCTCATCCGAATCTTGACAAACATGGCGCATGAAAAACCTCCCATCCTTTGCAGCAATCCACATCAAACCAAAAACTAAAGATTTCGGATTCCTGCAAATTGCAACAAGAGGGTCAATGTGTTCATCAAAATTCCTCATAGGAAGCAAAAATAAGACAATTCCCTACAAGATCAACCTTACCACCCCCAACCAGATGGAGACCAAACCACTCCATCATCAATGTCTCGCTTCAGAAGCTCATTGGCATTATACATCCCAACTATACCCATTCAGTTAATTAGTTACAACTATATTAAGTTAAAATCAAACCATTATAAATTTATACCCTCTATAGCTTACTCAAATATAAATCTTTAAAGATCTATCAAAGTATTTAACTCCCTTCTATCATATGCTTAAGTTCTTTTATTCTAAAAAGAATAGGCAAAATTGCAATTTTGGTCTTGAAAGTAGAGCCTAACAAAGGTAGTCCTGTTTTTTTGTCTTTTCATTTTTGACAATGTTAGTCCACTGTCTTCGAAAATTGCTACTTTTAACTGAAAAGCTCATGTTGCTCTCATGAGCATACTTCAAGAGATTTAATTGCGGAGTTGGACTAACTATTTGTCACCTAATACGAAATATTTTTTCTTTGTGAAAGTGACAACTTAATCATTAGTTATTTTGTATGAGGTGACCCATAAATAACCAAACACAACAATTAAATCTATGTATGCTTACGAATGTGACACATCAGATTTTCAGACAAAAATAAAATATTTCTTGAAATAGATATATAAAAATCCCAAAAATGAAAAACCATGACCAGTTTCATCAAAGGAGTTTACTTACATAACCAAAGTTGCAATTTACCCAAACTAATAACTCAAAATAGTCTAACTGAGAGAAAATACAAATTTTAACATCAACAACAATCCAATATAATCCCGAGCTCCGTAGAGGCCTGAGGTCAAGACACATACATTATTACCCCTGTAATAAACAGAGAGGTTGTTTCCGTCAGAGGCTTAGAGCCTTGATGTGTTGATGTATTCACTTCCCAAAACTTCATTGAAGGCAACAAGCAAGTGAATTTTAATGTGTCATAAGCCATTTTGACTCATTCCATTTTTTTCTAATCTAAAACATTATTGGCAGAAACTATTTTAGCTCCATTGGCAATGGACGTTAAAAAACACACAAAACTCATGAATAATTATCTGTGAAGCAATGAAAAGAATCACCTTGCACGCATCCCAAAATACACTTGAGGCCGGTAAGTTCCCCAATACAAGCTCTCTTTGTGTTCTCCTTGAAACTGCAACCGTTACAACTCCCAGATCAGAATTTTCGCTCAGATTTCAAATAATCGAAATTCACAATGCACAATCTAAAAATCACCATTGGAAGATCCATTAGCTTGGGGGCGGGAAGAGGAGTGATAACGCGGGGTTTCGGCGGCACTCCATCCAGATTGGCGAAACGGTAAATGAGAAACAATGCGACCAAGAAGGAAATGGATCCAAAACCTAAGAGGTATTTGAGGTTTACGCCGGGGAAGATGATTGAGCTCTGGTCCTTGCCTCTCTTCCTTCTGAGCTTGGAATTGAGTGTCGCGCTGCCGGCTTCGCGTTCTCCGTCGACTCCCGGCCGCAATTTCGGTCTGCTCCGAGCAGTTCTAATGGAATTTCCGGTCATTTGGAGCGTTGAGGGTGATGATCGGTGAGAACTGAGAAGTCAGCTCAAGCTAGACCTGCCAATAGGGTCAATCGGTTCGGGTCCGGGTCGGGTCTTTTCGGTTCGGGTCTCTTTCGGATATATGTTATAATCGGTTCGGGTCGGTTCGGGTCGGGTCAGTTCGGTTCCGGGTTTATTTCGGTTTGACTGGTTTCCGGTTTCGGTTCGATTTCGGTTCGGGTTTATATCGGTTCGAGTTTGTATCGGTTCGGGTTTGTATCGGAGTACAAAATAAAAGATTTGTACATGAAAGTAGTTACATGGTTTGCACTCATAATTTAAATATGTTTTTTAGAAACATATCAACATATGTAAAAATATATAGGTAATTCTTTTCTTCTAAATTCATTTGATAAATGAAATACTAATGAATTTGATCAATTTCGGGTCTAATCGGTTTCGAGTCTAATCGGTTCCGGGTTTAACCGGGTTCGGGTTTAATCGGGTTCGGGTTTAATCGGTTCGGATTTAATCGGATTCGGGTCTGAATCGGGTCTGAATACATTCGGTTCGGGTTCGGTTCGGGTTCGGATCATTTCGGGTGTTCGGTTCTATTTCGGTTCTTCAGTTTTCGGGTCAAATCGGGTTCGGTTCCGGGTTATTCGGTTCGGGTTATCGGGTCCGGGTCAGTTTTGTCAGGTCTAGCTGAAGCTGCTGAACCTCATCGACTTACAAAATGTCACCAATTTTTTTCAAAAATTAATCCTAACTCAATAAGCAATTGTAAGTTGTAATTTGTACTCCCTAAGTTCCTCAAAAATATTTCTTTTTTCATTTTTTTCACTTCCAACAAAACATTTTCATTTTTTATTAAAAAACTACTTTTACCCTTATTTTTTCATACCCTACTTATCACATCATACTTTTTCTTTAATGATCTATCCATCACATCTTATTTTTACTCATTACATCAAGGGCAAAATTGAAAGTCAACAACAATTTAACACTTCCTTATTTTTATACTTGGTCAAAATAAGAACTCTTTTTGAGAACGGAAGGAGTATTTGTTTGTATATTTTCTGAATATTTTTAAGTAAAGAAAATATATTAAATGATAGTTAAATGATCGATATTTTTATATTTTTCATAATTTAAATTATGAATAAAAACTCAAAATAATTCTTTGAAATTAAATGAGTGGCTGCTAGAGGAACGAACACATTCTAATTGGGTTTATGGACTCTATCTCGGGAAAATATTTACTTAGAAATGATCCGTTTGAAAAAATACTTAATTATAAAGGAACATTTCGATAACATACTTTAAATTTAGATAACAAAAATACTAAAATACCTTTTATTTGACTCACAATTAATATACATTTTTAGTAAAAGACCATTTAGAGAATAAATCTAAATTATAAAAATCACACGGGCAATTGTTGCATATTGAAAACTAATTTAGAAAATCACCTTATTAGAAAGAACCGTATTGAGAATTTACTTTTTTTATTTATATAATGTCACTATATTCTTTTTCACATTCAAAAATTGGCTTTTTTTTATTTGTGTGCGCTTTCTCCTTGCTAATTACTACCTCCGTCCCAGAGTATTTGTCCACTTTCATTTTTACACACTATCCAATACACTTCTTTAATCCATTTTATCTTGTAATTTGCATATTAAAAAATTGTAGAAATTACATACGGAGTATTAATAATCTATACGTTAAGACAAATCAAACAAGATCGCACATGACTATATTTAGGCTTACACATTGAGAGAATTTGATAAGTCAAAGTGCTTAGATGAACAGTTCCAAAAGTCAAAAGTGGACAAATATAGCGGGACAGAGGTAGTAATTATTTGTGACTCAGGGGTTGTTACAACACATTGAGCATCATCTTCAACTTGTACAGTAACAAGCTGTGAATCATAGTGTGGTGTGTGTTGTGTTTAGTTTGTTTGACAGACGACTCGTGCAAGTTCTTCAACTACAAGTATAAATTATATCACTTCATATATTTATTTCATAACCTCAGTTTATCCAAGTTTATGTGGCTTCTTCGTCTATGTTGGAGAAGAATTTTATATTATGGGAGGCAGGTATCAACTTACAATAATAGCCTGAAATGAGAATCGTGACTTCTTAAGCGGACAACAATATGCAAACAAATATGATATTTTGTTTGTTACTAGAGATCACGTAAATATGATACTTGAATTCAGTTGACCTTCCAATGTAGCATGAGATCAAAGAAGATCATACTTGGGCTAGTCTCCCAAATCAATTCACTAATGGTATGTTTGGGAACATGGATTTGGACTTCAAATCCGGATTTGACTTAAATTCCATGTTTGGGAAACTTAAGCATTTTAAATTTGGATTTGAATCAAATTCTTTACATTCAAAACCAAACTTAATTTGAAATCCATGCACCTTCCATTGTCATTTGAAATTCAGGATTTCAAATTTTGGATTTGAAATGCATGAATTGAAATGAAATACTAGTTGCCAAACACTACCTAAAGGAAGAGATCAAATTGCTTAATGGTGCTTGGGTTGTATTTGCCTATTTGGGTAGCCAAATGATGTTTTAGGTCTTTATGATACTAATTTTTGTCCTCCATTTGAACTTTATTAAAATGAAATTCTATTGGAAAAGAATTTTAAAATTCAGGTAATGTTTGTTTCTTTAATGTATCACATTATATTGTGTAAGGAATTATTAAGTATACAAGTATTTACGCAAGACTACACATGATCATTGCACATTACAAGTATATCAAATAGTTCATCTCGTTCATCAAAGTTTTGTCCGGATAACATTATGATCCGACTCATGTCGGCACCAGATTGAAATACGTGTCTCTTATGATAATTTTTATACATACACTAACAATCAAACTCGAAAGTTGACTCGATGAGCGACATCGAGCCGCTTAATCTTTGGTGTTTGTACTTTGTACTAGTATAGGTAATATACAAAATAGTTCAATGAAGATTTTTTTTTTGCAAATCCATTTTTTTATTTCAATTGCACATTGGTTTTATATTACTCCTACCTTAAATGTACACCTAACAAGAGACACTGCTACACTGGTTAAAATGTTAGTGGTACAAAATGAGGTTATTACTCTATATAGATTCTTCTTTGGATCATAGTCATTAAATCAATGGATACAAAATCACTTTGGAGTTTTGGAGCATTTTAACTGCACAGAGATGGCTTTCTTTAGACGAAAAAAAATATTTCAGATGAAAGTAAAGAATGACATGAACAATTGCCAAAAGAACATGAAACTCATCAATGGTGGTCTTATGCTCCTCCTATCTTCTCAAGATTTTCCGACACGGTTTTCATCCTGGGCCGAGCCTCGGGGTCTTCCTCGGTACACGCGAGTGCGACGTGAAACCCGGCCAAAACCTCCTTCTTTGCCTGCACGTGCTGGAGCAGCGCGGGGTCCACCATGCCCGACAGAGGAATCTCCTCCTCAAACCCTCTCCTCACCCACCCCACCAGGGTGGGGTGGGTAGTCCCGGCGGAAGTGGAGGGGGAGAGGTCAGGGGTCTTTCCGGTGAGCAGCTCAAGCAGGACCACCCCAAAGGAGTAGACGTCCCACTTGTGTGTGGGCTTGGTGTTGGGGACTTCTGGGGCTTGGTAGTGGTTGGGGCGGCAGTCCGGTTGGGGGGGATTCGCGTAGGGTAGGGCGCCCCCCATGAAGCCGCCGCCGGAGGAGGAGGAGGAGGAAGGGTTGTTGGTCCTGGTGATAGTGATCAGGCGGTTGAGGCCGAGATCGGAAATGTATGGGTGGGAGTCAGTGTCTAGGAGGATGTTGGAGGGTTTTATGGCTCCGTGGATGAATTTCCTGGGACTAGATTCGTGGAGATAGGCCAAGCCCCTGGCTGTCCCTTTGGCAATCTTCAGCCTGGTAGACCAGGTTAGGCTTGGGGATGGCTGACCATTTCTCCCTGCACAAGAATTAAAAACGTGGATTAGATAGAGTGTTGGAATTGAGTGGCCAACTAACTAAACTAAAATACATGGGGAATCCCAAACATTTGACACCAACTTCACACTAAGAGAAACACAGATATGTGTTTCCGTCTGTGTCTATGTTAACCTTAGTGTGCATTTAGTGTCAAATGTTTGGGGTCCCCTAGCACCACTCCTAACTAAATTGTAGCTTTGTCATGATCTAATAATATCTACCCATTGTCAATGCATTTCTACACACTTCTTACAAAATGCAAAAGGAAACAAAAAAAACTCGGATGGAAACAAAAAAAACTCAGATGTGAAATTGAGACCTGCAAAAGATGATTCCTGATTTTCTACGTGGCAGTTCATGTGACATTGCCCGATAATGTCATTAGATGACTCGGGGGCGCTACGGTGTCTCGTCCGTAAAATAAACGGTTCCTACCCACCAACCCCCCCCCCTCCGATAAACCCCCGCATCCGCCCCGACCCAAACACACGCCCCACCCCCTTTAATTGCATCCCCCAAGTTAATTTTAACTTTGGAAGGGATGAGGGGTGTTCAGGTCGGGGCAGGGTGGGGGGTTTACCGGAGGGATTACGGGGAGTAGAAACTGTCACTTTTACGAATGTGGCACCGTAGCGCCCCCGGGTCCCATGACAATATGACATGGAGTTCCCAATGGGAACCCCTCAAAACTTCCTATAGACACTTTATCTTGAAGTATATATATGTGTGTGTTTTCTAATAATAATAACATGTTATTTACTGCAAAAGTCAACATAAAAGTTTAATCTGGTGTTTGGTTTATGTGGTGGCATAATGGCATTTGCTCAAAAAAGGTGTTATCCGTTAAAATGCATCATTAATCATGGCATATTCCTAATGAAGGGGGTAAAGCCTAGATCACCTTATTGCTTCAATTGTAAGGCACTCTTCCGCCTTACAGTATTGTATAGTAAGACTTAATTAATGGTGGCATGTGGATGCATTTATTCTCTTGCAAATTATGGATAATAGCATTAATGGTGATTGTACTCTTACTGTACAAGCTAAGCTA